TATTTTAAAATAGTTCACACTTCACAAAATATATTACACTATAACAAAAATATGTAGATATGTACATTTATTATTATATATTTATCGAATAAGGCTAAAATTTATATTTTCTTTGAAAGCATAATTTTCCAAATAAAAACTATTCCAAAACAATTAGAATTCAGTCAGTTTGCTTTAATTCCATTATTTAAAAAACCTAATTTGTCAACGCTGATGAAAATTTCTCTATACGTATTAATTCTCATGACAATTTGCAATTTTAACTGAAAATTCAATTAGCATAAACCATTTGTTCTTCAAATTTCAACTGTCTTTCAATTTCGCAACACCAATAGGAAACAGTTAAATGATGAAATGATTTCAAYGCGCATTTTTATTGGCGCACAGCTTCTGTTGTTACTGTTATTGTGCTATTGTCATGCCTGGCGTCGGGTTAATTAGCGGTAATGGCTTTCTGAGTGCGCCTATTGTTGTCGCTGATTCGTGCATATGCAAATATGTATACATTTATAGGTATGCATGCATGTAAATATGTTTGCGCTTTGTTATGGCGTCTCGCAACACGTAAACTGTCGTTGAAGCACTCGGTGTGTACTCGAGAAAATGTCATTAAGACTTTCATTTCATTTCATTTTCATGCGGTTTTCAATATTTACTCAGGAGTCAGTGAAATTTGTTTGTTTCGTAATCAATTCCACTCTCAAGCCTACTTACACACAATTGGCGCTAATTAAGTGCTTAATGTGCTACTCTAAGTCATCGTTTGGCGACGGTGAGTGCTAGTGGAGTATAGAAGTTTGCTGAGCGGCACTTCAATGCTGGCGATCAGGACAAATTAGTGACTCAAATACACAATCTAAGGCGAAATGAAGCACTTGAGGTTGGAGTTCGACTTCGATTARTGAAAAGATATGTATTTATACATATATTGTACATTCATACATATGTATGTACGAGTGTATATATTCGAGGTATACTGCGATTGTATTTAACATCAATATCCGAATTATTTTGAGGTTATAGCTRCCATAATTCATGCTTTTGCTGTTTATTAAGAAGATTTCATTTCATTGAAATTTTATAGGTAAAACATACCAAACCACCATGTTTCCAAATTTACAAATTTAAATTTCACAACAAAAAATTTATCGCTTATATGTAGATATTTTTCTCTGYAACCTTATTGTACTTAATTGTTTTCCTAGTAATCGCTTAGCACCGCTTAGACACCCGCTCTGCTTTGGAGACACATTGTCTGCGTAATTTTTGCTGTTAGATAGGCATGCCATTAATTAACTTGTTGGATAATTAACAA